CCCCTCTAGTGGTAGAAGGCGGAATAGCAGCTTCCCATTAGTTTCTATGGACGGAAAAGAGCAGATACAGATTAAATGGTTTTCAATGCATTCCTATGGGAAATGCAGATTCTACATAAGAACTTTTCCACTTGAGAACCACCTTCCAATACGGATTAAGTTCTTAAGTAGAGACCCCACTGTAATGCCTTCAGTACTGTTGAACCATCCACATGTAATATTTTAAAGTGGGTTATAACTTTTAAATATCTGAATAACCAGATGGCTCTCACAAGGCCTTCATCTGAGACCCTTTTTCAGATGCCCCCACCAAATGACTATAGCAGAGGGAAAGAACATCTTTCTAGGGGTGGTATCTTATCTATGGAAAGGTCTCTTTAGCAAACTCTGTCTGGCACTCATCCTAGATTCTTTTTATGTCCAGTATGAAAACATTTAAATAACTCGCCCAAACATTTTAGTACTTTAAGATGACATACCTCTACTATTTTCTGCAGATTCATATGCTATAGTGCAGCCATTGTCAACAAGGGTCATATGCCCCCCATGGGGGGCTGTTATATTTGAAGAGGGCCACAAACTGGAAACAATTCTTCCCACACCACCTTATATGGTTCATTATGCAACTTATACAATCCTGATTCGGGCTATACTCCTTTCATGCTGTATTTATGGACATGCCCCCCCCCAAAAATGAGAATGGCTGCTGTAGGCCTTGCTGCTAATTTTACCTATTACACTACTGCTGTCTTTAGTCACTTGTATTAGGATTTGCATTTTTTAATACTGTAATTGATGTACTTCCCGCTATTTAGAGAACAGTTAAGTTCATAGAATATATATATATTCTCCCCCTTTGGCCAAAATTACTGGCACCCTTATCTTAATATTTGGTAGCACCCTCTTTTGAAAAAATAACTAAAATCAATTGCTTCCTGTAACCATGAATGAGTTTCTTACCCTTCTCTACTAGAATTTTGGACCACTCTTCTTTTGCAAACTGCTCCAGGGCCTTCAGATTTGACAGATGCCTTCTCCCAACTGCTGTTTTGAGATCTCTCCACAGGTGTTCTATAGCAGAGGTTGTCAACACGCAGTCCGTGGCCCAGTGCCGGCCCAGGCCGCGGAGACAGACCCCCCCGGCACGCACTCCCCTCCCCACAGCTGCTTTGCACACACATGCGTGCCAGCGCCAGCGTGAGCGCTCCCCCACCCCTTCATGCATGCACGCGATCGTCCAAGCGAAGGGGTGGGGGAGCGCTTGCACAAAGAGGTGGGGAAGCGCTCACATCAGCACTGGCAGGCGGGTGTGCACTCCCCACCGCTTCATGCATGCACCCCAGAGAGAGAGCACATGCACTGAAGAGCACAAGCATGCCTGCACGAGTGTGGGGGGTGCCCCGCCCTCCTCAGAGGCTCAGCCAGTCCATGGTCTCAAAAAGGTTGGGGACCACTGTTTTATGGGATTCAGATCTGGACTCATTGCTGGCCATTTCAGAACTCTCCAGAGCTTTGTTTGTAACCATTTTTGAGTGCTTTTTGAAATGTGTTTTGGGTCCCATAGGAACTAATGCAAAGCCGGTTAATCCGTCCTCTACCACTAGGGGGAGAATTTTTCTTCTTTTGACCTAAGATGAACTTAGGTCAAAAAAAGGGCAAGATAGGAGGTGGGAGGGAACACCTTCTAAACAGAACACCTTTAAAAACAGATTTTAAACCAAGCCAAGCCAAGCCAAGCACCTTTTAGGTAAAAAAGGGCAGGAAAGGAAGGAGGGGGGAGGGAACACCTTCTAAACAGAACACCTTTAAAAACAAGCACCTTTTTGATTTAAAAAAGGGCAGGAGAACACCTTTTAAACAGAACACCTTTAAAAAAACCACAGAATCCAACAAGCATTATTCCAGCACAGAACTCCTCATCACAAAAAGAGTCTAAATTGCAAAACAGGCAGTCTCTCTGTTTAGAAAAAGAAAATCAAACATCCAAACATCAAAAATCCAAAAATCTAACATTAAAAAAGCAAAAAAAATACAGTCTGTACAGTACAGTACCAGGCAGTTTGAAGACTCTCTCCCTATCCACTCTCTAACCGCTTGGACGAGCAATGTTGCAGATAAACAGCCGCTTTGCTGGCCAATGGTTAACAGAAAGTGCAAATTTAGCGCTTTCTCCGCCTCCCCCACATTTTTGTTCGTATCTTGAAGCTCTGTTCACAAGTAGAAGCACAATTTTGCTAACGAAGCTGTTCGCAATTTGGATCGTTTGTATAAAGGGGCGTTTGTAAGTAGAGGTTCCACTGTAATGCCTTGATTTGTGACTGGCACCTTGAGATACAACCAAAAAGCAGCCGGAACAGATTAATCGTGTTTCAATGCATTCCTATGGGAAATGGTGCTTTGAGAGTTATGACCATCTTCTGGAACGGATTAGTTCATAAACCAAGGCACCACTGTAATTCCCTATATATCCACCAAACATGATAAAAGTGCCCTCCTGTGTTTTACATTTCCCACACTATTTAAAAACATTTTTGTACCTTAAAAAAACTTTACTGGCATTATGTACCATCAGTAAATCATGTATCATTTATAAAACATCGTATCTACATTTTCTTTAATACTGATTTTTTTAACATTTATATTCTTCTACCATTTTATACCTATTTTATTCTACAGTCTTTAACCACTTCATCTTTCACATTCATGTTTTATTCATTAGTCCCTCTATTGTTGAGGTCTTCCTTCCTCCTCCTGGATCTTCTTGTTTCTATACTGCGCTTTCCTTTAGAGCACTTGCTTTTCTACTCTAGTTGAGCTTCCTTCTACCACTTCCTTCTACCTCTAATCCTGATGATCCACTTTATTTCTCCTCTTCTCGTTTCTCATCTGCTTTTTTCTCTTCTTTTCTGCCCAGCCACTTCCCCTTTGTTTTCATAAAATCTTCTGCCTTCATTTTTCAGTTTATATAGTAACTCTGCTCCTGGAGGACACTTTCAGGCACTAACCACTTATGCATAATTGAGTTTGTTCTCAAG